TCCTTTAATATTTCATGGTGACATTTTTCTCCTAAATGCAAACACACATTTAACAGCCTACCATGTTGAAAGCAAATAGGAAATAGAAATGCAAATAGTTATCTGTGAGAAAATATTCATATTATAACATGTTATCAAATAAAAGTCTTATGTCTAGAATACATAAAGGACACTTCAAAATTAATAAGTAAAAGAAAAACTAGGAAAATATTTAAGTAAACATAATATCCAAATGTTAAACAAATATAACCAAAGATAAACGATATCACTTCTCACCAGGGAAATAAAAGTTAAAACCACATTAAGATGCATATTCGCCAGTATAACGAAACTGAAAAAATAAAAATAAAAATATCCACTGTTGGTGAAACTAGAGAAAAAGTGTGATTTCTGTACATTGGTAGTGGGTGGGTGAAATAGTACCTCATTTTGGGGTAGTAGAAATGTACATTTGCCTCTCATAGAAATTCCATTTATAGCAATGTAATTTAAATAAATTAGCACATATCCCCCCAAAACTCATGTGTACAGGGGTGCTGGAGAGATGGCTCAGCAGTTAAGAGCACTGACTGCCTTTTCTGAGAACAGAATGGAACACAGGTTCCATTCCCAACACCCACGTGGTGGCTAATAACCATCGTTACTCTAGTTCCAAGGGAATCTACACCCTCTTCTGACCTCTGTGAGCATTGCTGGACATGGGCACACCTACCTACATGCAAACAGAACACTCATACACATAAAAATAATAAAATACTTTTAAAAGAATGTGTATAGCAGCTTTATTTATCATGTCCCCAAACTAGAAACAACCCAAATGCTAGCCAATCAGTAAGAGAACATGGAAAACTAAATTATGATGTATTTACAAAATGCAACAGTATGTTATAACAAAAATAACAAACCAATAATACATTTATCAACACTGATAAATAAAAAATACATTTTGAGAGATAAAAGTCAGACCTACTGAGTTCAATGATATGATCCTTTTTCTACGAAGTCTAAGAAGAGACAAAACTATTCTTTGTTGAGTAAAAGTTAAGAAAGTGGTATACATTTGAGATTCACAATATTTAACTCTATGTACTTTATGTATTAATAAGGTTTTTATAAAAAATGCTAATGGATAGTAAATTACATGAGAGGGACATATATAAAATTATGGTACCCCAGATTACTTCTTTGCTGAGTTCGTAACATTTCAAGTAACTAACAGATGCTTCTCTTACTTCAAGGAGGGTCAGTAAATGGCTAGAGAGACTGAATGATTCTACCCTATGTGGAAAATTAATTGATTGGGTTTAAATTTCTCAGTGTCTCCAGTCTTAGCAATTTTGTTTTGTGTTTATAACACAACTCACGCAAGTACCCTAACAGCTTAGGAATAGTTGAAGGAAATAGTTAGAGTATGCATTCAAACATGTTCACATTTCTAAGGGGAAAAAACCACCATTCTCTAGATTCAGCACAACCATTATAATCATTAATTCTTATCAACTGTAGCTTTTTGTACTGGACCAACATAGGACCAGCACTGTCAACAATCAGTGAAAGAATGGGAGGGCCTCGCTGGCCCTACCCTTTACCTCTGAACTTGTTATCTACAGATTCTGTGAGGGGCTGATCACTGTCTTTTGTTGAGTACCTCTGATGAGCAGCCTACTAGGCTCAAACAGATAGCTCTAAAAGCAAGGTCGTAGATGGCCCTAGTTAATCCTGGTGGGTCATAAAACTAAATGAATAGACATGAACATAGAAGAGATTTTGGGAGAAGGGTAGATAACAGTGGAGAGAGATGGGAGGTAGGAGTGGCCACTATGTAAGGCATACGTAGGTGAAATTATATAATAATAATTTAAGGAATGAAAATAATATTCTTTACTCACTAGGAAAAAAATCAAGGCAGAATTATAGAAGTGTTAATAACCAAAAACCCTCTGTTTTACAATCTCCTTGACCTAGTCACTTTGCGAAGATGTTAATAGTGATCATCTATGACATTATTGAAATCTAACGTTCCTGTCAGATACTTGCTGAATAAATTTCTAAACTCACCACTGCCTTATAGTGAGGAAATGGCAAACAGTTATGTTGAGAAAGACAGAAAAATAAATCTAAATGGCACAGAAAGTCTCTATTCCAATCAAAGCATGTACAATCGCTAAGGCTTCAGTATAAGTTGATAAGGAACTGGTCTTTATTAAGGGGAACTGAACGAAGGGCAATCTACCCAAAGTAGCACAAATTTCCCCTTATCTCTTTGAATTGCTTGGACAGAATCCAAGTTTCTTAGATAAATGAAATCTCTACAGACTATCACTCCTATCTTTATCTTCTATTTCCTTTCCAAGGCTTAAAAATTTCTGAAATTTGTATTCCCCAAATCCTAATAATATATTCAAGTCAAAAGTTATTTTTCCTTATTTATGACATAGCAGTCTCTTCAATAAACCATTAGTCTTTGTTTCCTGCTGATAGGCTGGTTTTGTTTTTGTTTTTTGTTTTTTATTTTTTGACTATTCTTGTTGATTTTTCTTCACTGTCTTTCGAGAAAAAGTCATCCTATCATCCTATCTTATTTTTGTACAAGACAAATTATTTTCTTCATTATACTGAATAAATATTTAAACAGTAAAAACACTACATTTATTGAATTCTCAGGTTCCTCATTAAGAATAAAACAAATTTTGAAACAACAAAAATGCTAGGATGCAGACAATTCTAAATCCTTAATTTCCTTGGCACTTGGGAACTATTTATTGTTTTAACAATACATTCAAATTTAATTAAATAAGCTTAGCTTTTACCTAAGATTTTAATTATGTGTATTATCAAGCTACATAGAGATAATATTAAGTATATGAAGTATATGGCATCTTTTTTTGTGTTTCGCTTATTCAGACAGGATCTTCCGGTAACCCCAGCTGTCCTTTGAATGTCCACCAGACTAGCCTAGATCTCACAGGGATTCCCTGCCTCTGCATCCCAAGTGCTAGGGTTAAAGGCATGTACCAGCACAGCAGGCATCATTTTCTTTAAAATCACATGAGCTTGGAATGAGAAATCACATTTAGCCACCAAACGTTTTAGATACCAACATTAATTGAATATTTTGGGAACTTATATTACTTTATTGAAATTTAATTACAATGTCTTCTTTCTCAAATGTGTAGAAAGCAAGGTAATCATTCTAAGATGAAATTTGTATGTAGAAAGGAGTTAATTAGACCTCTGACTATTAAATTTGAAAAGACCAATTTTGAAGATTTCACTGAGCTGGGATTGGGGAACTTGGTTTCAAGATGCTTTCAATCATCCTCTAAAGAGCAAGCAAGGCTCACTGTTGCAGAACAGTTTATGCGAACAATGCAATTTCTGCCTCATACCCATTCTCCTGAAAGTCTAGAAGGTTGGCACATCTTAGGCTTCTAGGAGGAAGAGAAGGTGATTGCTCAAAATAGAAAATCTGGATACTGAGTCCTCAGCAGGTCTCCCTCGTAGAGGGCATCCCTAGTAAAAACTTCATAAACATGTCATTACAACTCCACTGTAGCAATTGAACGCATTCTGCTTTACTCCTGTTGGAGATGGGACACTTGGAAGTTTGTGTCTGATCTAGTCCCCATGTGGCTTTCTTTTTGCTGATTTTTCTTTAAAATGTGTTGTTATAATACATTGTAGCCATGAATATAATTTCTTCTGGGAGTTCTCTAAGAACACCATATAGAGTGATCTTGAGAACCCTTGACACTCCTGATATGTACACACTGAATACCAGTGATAATGACCTTAAAGTTAGAGAAAATAATTTCATGGAGACAGTAGTTTTTCAAGTGGAAGTTGTCATATAGAATCCCTAGTATGAAACTGAACAATATTTATACATTTTTCTTATACATATTTTACCCAGAAAAAAATGCACATTTCCTCTTTTCATTTTATCAAAGCAAGAATTTGTCACCTTCTTATTTATTTAGTAGTAATTTCTTCATAGTTTTAAATAACAAATGGCTTTTGAACTGATCAGTAACAATTTATAAAACTAAACTCATTTTTTTAGAGTTGAGTTACTGGACAAATTTGAGTGCAACTTTCTTACCGACGTTTTGTAAAATCGGTGCCTTCCCTGGAAATACCCTTCCCTTGGCACTTGGCAGAAAATGAGTAAATCCCCCTTTTGTAGCATGAGTTGATTTGTTCTGCTATACTTTAGCAATAAATACTTAAGGGTCTGTGTGCATTTGGGTTCCTAGTTTCTCCTCTTTCTTTTCCATCCAAGCTTCTTTAAGGGAAGCTGGCCAGAGGATTGGGCAATAGATGTGCCCACTATCCACGTTTCACATTATTTTACTGGGTCATGTTTTAATTAAAGAGTAAAAAATGATTGTACAATAAAGAATAAGAATAAGTAGGGAGTTATATGATAAAGGTATACTTTGTTTGGCTCTTTTATAAGTACTGAGGCTAAATAAAAGTGAGGACTAAAATGGTATGCAGGTAAGCAATACGTCTGTGTCAAAGGCCAAATTACTAGGATCATGAATATAATTGCATATCTTTTTTATTCTAATTACAGTGCAATCTATTCTTGATTCCAACTTTTTTGCCTCATGAACATTGTGTACTGTTTCCACATATGTATGACTACATGGTAATTATTCCATTACTTATCATTTGTTAGGTTTTTATTTAATCACGTATGGCCAATACAAATTTGTGAGTAAAATTTCCTTTTTGTGAATACTTATCAGCAGTTACCAATACATCTTCAATACCTTCTTGTAAACTAGTTTGGCTAAAAATGTCTTATCCTACAAAGACAGATCTTACCTGAGAAACACCGTTCTTTTTTTTTTTTTTTTTTTTTTTTTTTTACTCAAAAAACACCATTGTCCTCCCACTCAAATCAAGCAATGAGTCAAAACTCCTCAAAAGATCACAGATAATAATCACCATATAAACTATAAAACATGGAACTGTCATCCAAGGGCACTCACCCACTTGAGTCTGCAGATGTGATAGCAATCAGGGGCAGGATCTTCAGGGGGAGGCTGGTTGGCCGTGGAAGGTTCTCTGATTCACTTTTTAAGTCAGCTTGTTCCAACTGTCTGAAGGCCAGAGGAGGAAGCTGAATATTGCGGCATGAAAGTCTCCTTACGAGATAGGGCTCCATTCCCCGGAAATGATGTTCTTCTTCATTACTGGAATGTAACGTTTCCTCAGAGGCCTAAGGCGAAAGTTCAAGAAAGTCCATGGAATTAATAAAAGTCCCAATATGTTCCATTACATAACACTTCATCTATTCCTGGAAGAAATCATGTGAAACATATGTGTGAAAAACACTGACCTAAAACAAACAACATTAACAGAATAATATTTTGTGAAAATTGCAGAGACAGGGTCTCCCTCTAGCCCCAGTTGACCTAGAACCCACTATGTAGACCAAGCTGGCCTTGATCTCACAGAGATCTGCCTGTCTCTGCCTCCTAAGTCCTGGGATTTAAGGCACACACTGACACTCCTGTCTCACTAGTAATTTTTAAATATTTTATTTATTATCTTTATTTGTTATGTGTATGAGTATACTGCCCACATGTGTGTAAGTGTACCCATGTTGTACAATGCTGGCAGATGTCAGAAGAGGGCATTGGATCCCCTAGAACTGTAGTAAAGGACAGTTGTTAGGCCCCATGTGGGTGCTGGTAACCAAACCCAGGTCCTCTGCAAGAGCAGCCAGTGCTCTTTACCACTGAGCCGTCTCTTCTTCCTTGCTCACCAGTACTTATATGCATGTTTGTTCATCAGAATTGGTATTTCTAGTAATCTTGGAATTTATGAACTCTATGCATGAATTCTATAAAAGTCAAATATTAACCAAAATGTTTTTCTTCCTCCTATGAAATGAGTTGCTAGGCATTTACTTCATTATATATGTCAATGCATGCATGTACTAAGATGCACATGTGTACATGTGTTCTCCCAAAGAAATATTTATGAATAAAGAGACAGCAAAAAAGACATTTTTCCCTCAGTCTTACTATGTAGCTGAGAATGAATGACACTGAACTTCTGGTCATCCTATCTTCACCTCCCAAGTGCTGGGATAACAAGTATGCATTACTGTGCCAGGTTTACAAGTTTTAAAATAATCTCACATATAGGACTATGTCTATGACATATGATTTTAGGTCTCTTGCCAGTTTTTATAATAAGACTTTGTAAGGGAAAATTTAAAAGCTACAAAAAAGAAAATTTGAATACCCAATGGAATTTAAGACACACCTAAATTTACAAATTTGATTGACATGCAAAGGTAAATCATGTCTAGAATAAAATAGAAAATTAAATGTTTCAATCCTAGTAGAAAAAAAGAAAAAATTATGTGATAATAATCAGTTGTAAGTGGTTGGAAAGTCTGCTCTGGTAATACTTATTATATGCATATACTCAGAATTATAAATTCATCCAAAGTTGTAATATGCTTCAGTAGAAAAACCAAGCTTTTGAACTCTTGCATTGGCATTTCATTTGTTGTGCTCTTTGAAAGTAGTTTAATCTTTTTCTGAGGGGTCAGTTTCTTTTTTAATAAAAATTTGACTATAAGAATCCAAAGAAACCATGCATATGCTCATAGCTAATTGCCTGCCATATGGAAAGTGGCAAAAAGGATGATTTCCTTTCTTTTGAACTTCATAGCTAAAAAAAAAATCTCACCCCTGGAGGCTAAATACCTTTGAAAAGTTTGCCTGTTGGTTATAAGTTAAGACCACGTGAACTCCGAAGCCTTCGAACACACTTTAGCATCTTCATTGCACTCCTGATTATGCTACTATTTGGGGGCATTTAACTGAAATTATTCCTCCCAGAATTTGAAACTATTTACTCTGAAGTCGAAATAATAATGGTTCCCTGTTGGGATCATTGTCTTTTCCAGATATGAACTGGCTAGAGCTCTGATAGCCAGCAGAGTTTGTGCTCTACACAGGGTGTTGCTTATAAGAGTCCAAACAAATCTCCTCTATGACTTCTGAAGCCCAGTGCTGCCTTAGATGCTCATTTTCCTTGATTTCTAAACACAGAATGTGTTTCTTCCTGATCTTGAAAAATGTGAAGGATGTGTACTGGTGGGCTCCAGTCAGCCTTGAATTGAAGTTTCATTTTATTAATGAATGGGATGATAGAAGGACATTCAAAAGGAAATAAAGGTCAAAAATGAAATAAAAAGCTCATTTATTTCAATATTTGAACAGCAGATCTAAATTCTGGGTCTACAGTTTGAGGGATGTGCTTTGCAAAACAATGCCAATGATTAAAATGACTAGTATTTATTGAGTTACTCTGATTTTGCAACAGCCTAACAAAAGTAATGTTTAATGAGGGAGGGAGGGAGGGAGGGGGGAGAGATAAAGGAAAGAAGGAAAGAAAAAAGAAAAATCAGAGTAGATCTTCTGGTCTCTTCTGGCATTGCATGCCATTCATTGCATTTAAATACATATCGGAAAAACATTCATACACATAAAATAAAAATTAATTTCAGGCTTTAATCTTAGCACTCAGGAGGCAGCAGCAGGTGGATCTCTGTAAGACTGAGGCCACCTGGTCTACCTAGTGAGTTTCAGGCTAGCTGAGGCTACAGGGAGATCCTGTCTCAAAAAAACAAAAAAGTAAATAAATGAATAAAATAAAATTAAGAAAAATAAAGAATGTAAAAATTTTGCTTAAGTGCCTGAAAATGTTTGCTCAAAATCTGGGCATGGTGGTATACACCTGTCATCCCAGAACTCTGGAAGCTGAGGGTTGCTATGAGTTTGAGGCAGCCTGGACTACAGTGTGAGATTCAGTCTCAAAATGAGAGGGGGGAGAGATAAAGGAAAGAAGGAAAGAAAAAAGAAAGAAAGAGAAAGAAAGAAAGAAAGGAAGGAAGGAAGGAAGGAAGGAAGGAAGGAAGGAAGGAAGGAAGGAAGAAAGGAAGAAAAATACACATTGCATTCTTGGTTTTTAAATTGCCAAAGTGAGTCCTGAGTACATGTATAGAAATTTCGTTCAAAATGAACACAGGTAAAAGAAAAAGAGGATGAGTCTAACAAAGCTTTGACAACAATGAATGTAGCAGACTGAAGTTAGCATTTTTCTATTAAGAGCTTAGTTGCCCACTCTGGATGGTAGCATTGCTACTGCGGCACTGGATTGTATAACTCAGGTTATTTGATGTAATAACAATGCTTGAAATATCCTGTATTCAATGAAACTGCCTCAAGGGCCAACGCCTTTTGAAAGAATGATTTCTATTAAAATGCACTGCATATTTATGATCAAATATTGCTAGTTTAAACCCATTCTTTAAATATTTTTACCTTTATAATAAAAATAACACAGCAGTAGATGTCTGCATCTTAAAATTCTCTACCCAAAACTGTATTGCAAGGGGTCTTTTCACAGTACAGATCAATTGTTTTAGAAGTAAATAGAACAAATTTATCTGGCAGAAGATAGAAGGCCCTATTTTGGAAGGAAATATAAATCTAACCACTAGAACCACATGAATCTTAGTCCAAAAAAAGAGATATTTTTTCAAGGAGTTGAAAAAAAATTATATTTCTAATATTTCCAAGTCATTGTTTCTCAAAATACAGTGGTGACAAAGCCCCTTTGTCAGAATCATAGAGGGTGCTTGTTAACAATCTGACTCCAAGGTCCTCTTCCAGATCTTCCTAGTTGAAATCTTCAAGACTACAGCCTATGAGTCAAAAAAAAAAGGTCCAAATCCTTATGTGCATTAAATTTTGAACAATGGTTTTGACATTTTAGACATAGTCTAATACAATTATTTGACACAGATCCAGCTATAAGACATTCATTACAGCTCATTTATAACAATGAGTAACTGGATGTAATCTAATTGTTTCACTGAAGGGTTGGCTTAATAAATTTTGATGCCATGTGATGAAATACTATGAGACCGTTAAAGTAATGTAGACAATTTGTGATAATATGATTATGACATAATGTTGAGAGGGAAGAAGAGAGTCTAAAGTGATCTTTGCTTTTGTAAAACAATAGCATCAAAATAAAAAAGTCATCTATTCAGAGAAAATTCTGGAAGGATATGTTCCAATTCTCTAAACAATATTAGATATTAGTGATTTTTTCATATCTTTCTTAATTACTAGACTCCATAATAAATAATATGTTACTTTTAAATTAAAAAGCACAATGTAAGTCATAATAATAAAATGAAAAAACATTCACTTTGCTATGAATGGTACTTGGAAATACCTCTCATTTAGCTTCAAGATATGCAATAGTGAAAGAACAGAAACACAGAAGTATTTGAATGAATTTAATGTGAACCTGTTAGATTATAATAAAATTAAATTATCCATGGTAATTAACCAACTTCCTTGGAATACCTGAGAGACAATTTTAATGTAATTCTTCTTCACTGTTAGAATAAACATATTTCTGAAAGATATACTTAAAGTAATTCTGTAACAATTGCTACTTACAATGGGTGCTAAATATAATATTGCTTATTATTATTTGCCTTTTTACTTGCTTCAATTTTCAATTTTTTGGTTCTTCTTTTTCCTTTCAAAGTAGGTAGCATACCAGTTGCTGTTAGCATAGGAACACACACACACACACACACACACGCACGCATGCGCACGTGCATGTGCACACACGTACACACATATACACACACGCAATCATGTTAAATAAATTTTCGTGGCTTCTGACAATATAACAATTTTGAATATTTTTTCATACGAATGCACTAAGAATGAAATTTTCTATGGAAAGTCCTGTTAAATTATTGTTATTGTTTGTATATGAATTGTTCCCCTCCCCCACAAAATTTAAAACTGAATGCACTGAAGGCTTGGTCCCCAACTGGGATACTATTGAGGTAATTTGGCCATAGCTCCTAAATTCAAAATTTAAGCTACTGGCGATTCATACTGAAGGAGCTATTAGGACATGAGGTCTGCTTTAGAGGAAGTAGGTCACTGGCACTGGAGGTGGTATGTCTTTGAAGGTATGTCTTGTCCCTTGCCCCTTTCTGCTGATCTCTGCTTTGGGTTACATGAGCCACAAATATTCATCTGCTGGAGTAATTAATGAAATTTAGGGGTTCCTCTTATAGTGTTATAAGGATATATGTATATATATACACATATATAGTCTTTCTTTTAATTTAGTCCATTGTAATTGTGATAACTGGTTTAT